CAGTCGTCATATGTAGCTGTACATCAGACATTAATTGTCACTTCCACACACATTCCTCTTGCATTGTGTATTGTGTCTCGTTATCATCACTGTGAGCTCTGCCTCAGTGTATTTATAAATAGTGTAGGAAGTCACTATAGGAAGCTCCACACCTTCAAGAATAATGGTTACTCTTGTGGCAGCTATGGTATTGACTCAGTTTCTGACTAGTGCTGCTGGTATATCTACTTTGCTATTTTTATTATTGTATGTTGTTCTTATAGGTATATTCACTATTGTACCAGTGACACAATATGTTTATGTCAATGATACTGTGACATTTGAATGTGCTACTAACTCAACCGGAAATATTCCTTATTTCATTGTTGGAGGATCAATTCAACAGTCACAATCAAGTGTAACATTACCGAATGGTGGAATGATGATATCATTTAACCAAATAGCAACAAATGAATCAAATAGGACTGATGTTGCATGCAGAACAGTTAGTGGAAGTGCCACTGAAACTGCTTATCTCTATGTTCAAGGTTAAGCAATAGATTTACATGTTATGTTCATCATTTTTTATTATTATGTGTATTCCCCAGGTCCTCCTGATAGTGTCAGTAGTTTAACAGGATATCAGTTAGATTCTTGTTGTATGTTTATCAGTTGGTATCCTCCATTCACACTACCAGGACTAACAGTACAGTATATAATCAGTGTAGGAACTGATCAACAGTACCTTAATGACTCTATCACTAGCTACACTTACTGTCCAATGAACCCAACCAATGAACAATATCTGTTTAACATTACAATTATTAATAAAGCTGGGAATGGATCTACTAGTAACATAACTGTTGGATTCCAATCAGGTAGGCTTATAACAAAATTGAATTATTTTCTATTTTTTCGAATCTGATAGATTCAAAAATTTCAATCATTAATCAAGAATCTACATATCACATAAACAACAGCTGGAGTTTACAATTCCTTTTACAAGTAAGCATTATACACAGTTCCACACACACAATAACCATTATATTGTTTATACAGGCTCATCAAACATGTACTGGAGTATCACTTGCTAATATTACAGTAACTGGTTGTACTGTTAGTAAATGCAGCACTTGTTATTCATCAACAAATGTATCCATTAGTAGT